ACTACAGAGAACAAATTTCTTTACACTACTCTTTACCCAATTAACATTCTATATGTTCTATTTTAATAGGCCTACCTTAACTACTATATAGCCTATGTTTTGTAAATACTAAAAATGCCTGACAGTCATGCCAATAAACATCTGATTTTGTGTGACTCTATTTCAGCAGGCACACATACATGAATTTTATAGGAAATTCACTTTTTTTTATTTTTTAAATATAATATTAGTCATCAATAGTCTATATTAGTAAGTATAATTATGAAGATGTATCGAAGAGGAATTAATCAGCATTATGTAAGAGTCATTTTGTTCATGCCCATTGTTTTATTTATAAATGAAAACAGATGCTCATTTATCCTCGTACTGAAATACAGAAATAGTCATAAAGTCAAAGCATTACTGGTTGGATTGTAAGGCATTCACTTGTAAGACATTCACAGTATTTGCAAAACAATTATGGTAGTCTACTTTAAAATATATAACACATAATGGTAATGATAATGATAATGATGATGATAATAATAATAATAATGATGATGATCAGCGTTGGGGGTAATGCATTACAAGTATCGCAAGTTATATATTCAGATTACTTTTTTCCAAGTAACTTGTAAAGTACTGCATTATTTTTAAATTTACAATTAAATATCTTTTTTTATATATAAGAAACGGCAGTTACTTTGTTTACCCATTTATTTATTGACTTCTCTCCTGTCCCAGTCTTGAAAGAAATTGGGTGTGAGGTGCAGGCACTTCCTTCAGTCTGAGATTTATTTCACTTTTGGTGTGAACAGGTCTTTACAGTTGCCAGAAATATACGTTTTTTTTTGTGTAAGACAAAAAGTAAAGCAGAAGTAACAACACGCAATTCGTTACTTTTGTATGGAGTAACTCAATATTCTAATGCATTACTTAACTTTCCCAACACTGGTGATAATGATGATGATGATAAATAAATAAATAAGAAACAATCAGTGAGTGGATTGAAAAGACTGGGATGGGGTGAATTAAAATGTTTTAGGCTCTCAAACTTCATTTGAAAGCTGTCATCACATGCAATATAATATAACATAGGCCGTAGGTGCCCAATCCTGTTCCTGGAGATCTACCTACCTGCAAATTTCAGTTTCAGCAGTGATCAAACACAGCTGTCTGTAACTATCAAGTGCTCCTGAAGATCTTATTGAGCAGATTGAGTGGTGTTTGATCAGGGTTGGAGCTGAACTTTGCAGGGAGGTAGTAAATATTTAGAAACACTAAATATTTCTCAGATTTCCAATCCCCTCCATTCAATTTCAATTGACGGTCATTTTTGACCAATAAAGCTAAGATCAATAAGGCCTACAATCAGTCAGTATCAAAATTAAATACAAAACCAGGTGTTGTGGAACACCACAAGTGTGATTTTTTTTGCAATTTTTTTAATTTTTGTCTAGAATAAACGCTTTTCAAAACAAATTTCTTGGTTAAACATTGGAGCATGCGAGTGTGATAAACAGTGGAATTTTTTTTCATATTTTATTTAATATTTTTCATATTTTATTTTTCACTCAAAAATTGATGTACTTAGGCTCAGATTAATGAGGCCTACAATAAATCAGTTCCAAAACTAAACACAAAACCAGTCATAATTGAAAGAAAACAAGCTGACAAAAAGATTGATACCAATATTAGGTGATAATATAGCATAACGAGATTTATAAGCTATTTTTTGTGCCCATGTCATTTTTGACCGAGAACACCACAAGTGTTATAGGGATTTGAACACAACCTGAGGGTTAAACGCAAAGGATGCTCACACCAAATGTTGATTTCATTTAGTTAGTAGAAGTTAACTAATAAAGAAAATCTATTTATGACATGATTTTGACAGCATCCTCATTTTACAGCATTTTTACACAAGTGCCTAAAACTTTTTACAGTACTGTAGCTTTGCATATAGGTTTGTTGAAGCATCTTGGATACATTGCCACAGTTCTTCTGGATTGAGTCTGTCTCAGTTTGTTCTGTTTCTTCTTGTCCCTCCAGACAGACTGATGATCAGATCAGATCTCTGTGTGGTGCACTGGCTGCTGTCAGACAAAAATCTCATTGGATTATTACAATTAATGGCAAAATGAATGTTTGGAAATGTAAACTGATATTGTTTATGATATTGTCAATGTTGTACATTGACTTTATTGAAGTGCCATTGAATACAATGGTACGTAAAAAGGCCAATCGTTAAGTACTATCATATATATATGTGAAAATAAACTTAAAATATAGCAGCAACATATAGCCTTGGAACGAGTTTCAAAAAAGTACTTTTTTTTTCATAATGTCAAATATTAAACAAAAGGCTTGACAGCAGTGGCTCTAGAGGCAGAGTTGTTCAGAATACAGAAATCTGACATGCAGGGGTGCACATAAGGGCTTCCCACTTTATTTATTTATTAATTCATTATTTTTAATTATGTTTTATTTAGTTGTATTTTTTTTTTTTTGCTGTGACCTCAGATTGAGCTCATTCATATGCATTTTCGAGTTTGGTGAACATACCTCATTCCATTCAAGAGTTTTAGCCATTTTAGTAAAAGTGGCCCTGCCCACTTTGAACATTTTGGCATCCTGTTGCGACCAACAATGGAAGGTCTCTAGGTTACGTATGTAACCATGGTTCCCCGAGGGAACGAGATGCTGCGTCGAGAATCGCTTTGGGAACTCCCCTGCGTGACCGCATTCTGAAGCATGTGTAAAATCAGTCCAATGGAGCAGCGAGACATCACGAGCGGGGTGACGTGAGCACCAGGAAGTATAAAAGCGCATCCGGCAGAGCGCAAGTTAGCTTCGATGAAGTAGAGCCTGGAGGGATGCAGGGAGTATGGCAAAGAGACGCAGCATCTTGTTCCCTTGGGGAACCATGGTTACATATGTAACCTAGAAATGTTCACCTTCAGGAACTCGAGGTGCGTCGAGAATCGCTTTGGGAACAAGAATACCCACTGCGCCATACTACCAAGTCCCTGCCTGTGTGTGTATCAGATGAGGACATCACGAAGAGAGAACTTGGGAACCTGGGGTAGATGCCAGGTCTAGGTTATAGAAACGGACAAAAGTGTGCGGAGAGGACCAGCCTGCCGCAGCACAAATATCCTGCAAGGCCACACCCAAGTTGAAAGCCTTGGAGGCTGTCATACTACTGGTCGAGTGCGCTCTGACCCCCATAGGTGACGGGAGGCCAGAGGACTCGTAGGCTAGTGAGATGGCCTCGACCACCCACCTACTCATAGTCTGCTTGGTCGCCGGAGATCCTTTCTTTGGTGGACCAAAGCAAACAAACAGCTGATCTGCCTTACGCCATGGGGCAGCTCTGTGTGCGTAAGCTTCCAGTCCTCTAACTGGACAGAGCAGATTAAGCCTTCTTGGCCTACTTCCTGGAACGGAGGAGGAAAGAATGCCTGAAGTACTATGGGCCTTGGCGAAGAAGTGGGCACCTTAGGGACATACCGACCCTCGGGTAAAGGAATGCCCTAACCATGCCTGGAGCAAACTCCAGGCATGAAACAGAAAGTGCCTGCATATCCCCGATCCTTTTAAGTGAGGAAATAGCAAGGAGAAAGATAGTATTGAGCGTGATAAACTTGAATGAAACTTCTTCTATGGGTTCAAAGGGTGCATTGCATAAGCCCTCCAGAACCACAGCCAGGTCCCATAAGGGCACCTTAGTGCGCTTAGTGCACTTTAGTCAGCCTCAGGGTGCCACAGAGGAAATGAGTGATAAGTGGGTGTCTTCCCAATGATTGACCACCCAAAAGGGCATGGTAAGCAGCTAAGGCCGCCACGTATACCTTCAGAGTAGAGGGAGATAACCCTGCGGAGAATCGCTCCTGCAGAAACTACAGAACTGTACCAATTGGGCAGTTGACTGGGTCTTGCAGTCGCTGTCCGCACAATGAAGTGAAAAGCTTCCACTTTAAGGCGTACTTTTTCCTAGTGGTGGGAGCTCTGGACTGCAGTATAGTCTCAACAACCTCAGTTGAGAGACCAGATGCTAGGAGCTGTGCCCCCTCAGGGGCCACGTCCATTCTCGAAAGCTGAGCGTGCATGCTCCGCTCCTAAACAAACAACACACAGATCATGTGTATCCCCCGCTGCCAGATAGCGTGGGCAGGGAGAAACACAACGTCTGTAATGCCGTTCGCTCGCCATAGATTTTTGCTTAGACTTTGACATATTCTTTTGAATACTTGTGGACTGACAGACAACAGTAAATAGACTTACACATACACAGAGCGCTACTGAAGAGCAGAAGCTAACTTGCACTCTGCCGGATGCACTTTTATACTTCCTGGTGCTCACGTCACCCCGCTCGTGACATCTCGCTGCTCCATTGGACTGATTTTACACGTGCTTCAGAACGCGGTCACGCAGGGACGTTCAAAAATCACAAAGTGATTCTCGACGCAGCTCGAGTTACTGAAGGGGAACTGCGTTTCGATAACTTTTGCTGTTCAGACTCCAGAGAAATTTCCTTCACTGGTGCCATGTAACTTGTCATGTAAAACTATATTTCTATAATGCAGGGACCGAATTTTTATTTTTTGGCCAGTTTTGGTTTTCTCATCAGCCATCAAACTTCATTTTGCATTATTTTTAGAGTAGTTGTATATTTCTATATCTCTATGACAATGAGAATATTTCTGGGTTTTTTTCTCTCCTCAGCTTTCAGAAAAATAATACAATTATAATGTCTCAAATTCTGCAAGATCCATTTTCCCTTAATGTGTATTTAGTCATAATGGAGACTACTTTGTCAAACTGCTAATTAATTAGAAATGGCTGAAAAATGTAAAATAATATACTGTTTGTCTTCTTTTACTGTTTGTCTAATTGTGTCTTCTTTTGTGCTTGCATCAATAGAAGTGTGTTTTGGTTTATCTGTGGTAGCATTTCTTGTGTTATTGTTAATTCATTTTTCTAATGTTTTGTGTATGTATTATCAATAATCCATGCAGGTGTATCGGCAGGACTGTGATACATTTGGCATGGTTGTGAAGATGTTGGTGGCCAAGGATCCATCCTTGGAGAAGCCAATTCAACTGTCTCTGCATGAAAACCTGAGGGACTTTGGCATGCGTTGCATCAAGGCCATGGAGCAGTTCATCCATGA